CAGAATATACAGCTGAACTTCAGTAAAGACTGAAACCTGGTCACAAGATCTAGTGTGAGTAATAGATGGCATGAGAAAGAAATACTCCTGTTGAGGCTGCTGAATACATGGAAAAAGCTAAATACTCCTTTGGAGGCTGCCACATACATGGACCAGGCTAAATTTCTGCAAAGAAGCCAAATAAATGGGATTTTATTTCTCTGAACACCAGCACCAGCAAAAATTCCACTCTACACCATTTTCTGTGGTCATTTACCTATCCACAAGTGTGCTGGATAACTTTACTGTCAACTTGACACACCTGTGTTGAGGGAGCCTCAATTGGGGAATTGCCTCTATTGGGCTGGCCTATGTGGGATGAGTGATGTGGGAGGGCCCAGCCCACTGTGGGTGGTGCCACCCATGGGCAGGTGGGCCTGTGTTGCATAAGAAAGCAGGTTGAGCAGGGGCCAGGGGAGCAAGCCAGTAAGCAGCATTCCTCCATGGCCTGTGCTCCAGCTCCTGCTTCCAGGTTCCTGCCCTGAGTTCCTACCTTGGGCTCCCTGATGAACTGTGACCCAGGAGATGTAAGCTGAATAAACTCTTTCCTCCCCAAGTTGGTATTGGTCGGAGTATTTTGTCACAGCAATGGAGAAACAAACTAGAACAAGTGTCAGCCTTATCTTTTGAAGGAAACTGTCAAGTCCAGAGAGGTGAATTCAAGTCTAAGGGAGACTAGCATTTGCCATTTGAGGGGTTCTACCAAGGAAGAAGAATACAAACTTAAAATACAGAATCCTGTGAAGAGGAGTGCCAAGTGAGGGGTCCCAGAGGTTAAGTGCCAGTAGCTTCAGAGTAAGCCACCTCTGGACTACCTCAGGCCAAAGACCAAATCGTAATATCCAAGTTCCAGCTACATGAAGCCTTATAGACTGCTGGGTATTACATAGGTATTTTGTACTTCTTTCCCCCCCTTTCAGAAGCAAGCAGAGGATTTAACCATGAGATCAAATTCAAAGCTAAGTGTTAGCCCATTCATGTGGTATGGGATAAATATTAATTCTTCATTCAGTCATCCTTCAAATGATAGTTGAATTCAATATAATCTAAATTCATGTTGGATATATTATTTAATCATTGTTATCCAATTAGTATTTTAAAAATCTGAAAGTGTCTATCCATAGGACAAAGAAAAGATTTTTCAAGCCATCAAATAAAAGATGGATGTATACAAGTCATAGACTAAACATTCTGGTTCCTGGCGGGGGGGGGGGGGGTCATGGTTAAGACGAACAGCTGGAACTTATGTGCACTCCTCACCCACTGTGGACATCTGTGGGCTATTATCAGTGAAGTCATCCCCTAAGGAGAATAAGTCACCAATTTCAAAGTAAACTTGTAGGAGTTTTTCATTTCCTCATATTGCCTGCCAACAGTTAGCATATTCCATCTTTTTACAAATATGAAGTATTAAAAAGATAGAATTCACATCATTCTTCAATTTCTACTTAGAGGTATGAACTATTTGACAATTAAAACAACTCACCAATCTCACAAATTTACATTCCAGGCTTAATATTTTGTCAAGTACCATCAGTCAGAAAACTACAGAACTTCCTATGTTGAGACACAGAGTATATCAGTATATGATCAATAGATGCTTTGTGATTTTCTCTGAATATGAACATATGAGTGAACACTAAGCCAAATAATTTCCCTCCGTATGCACCTGCAAAGGGGCTGATTTAGCTGTTAGGATCTTAACGCCCCCACATGTCTATGTGTGGAAAGCTTGAATCCCAGTGTGGGGCTATTGGGAGGCGGTGGGACCTTTATGAGGTGGTGCCTAGTGGACAGTCTAGGTCACTTTGGAGTGTACTCTGAAAGAGATGGTGAGACCCCGTCTTTCTCTTTACTCCATGGCCAAGAGACCAGCAGCTTCACTTCACTGCATGTTCCCACCATGATATGCTGACTTGTGACAGGTCTAAAAATAGCAGGGACAAATTACCATTGACTGAAATCTCTAAAACTTTGAGCCAAAATCAAACCTTTTGTTTTCATAAGTTGATTATATCTGATATTTGTCATAATGACAGATAGGAAACAAATATTTTGAGGACAAACCTACTGTTGTAACCTTACACTGAAATAGAAAGTTGATTATTAAAAGTCTTTCTGAAGACTAACGGAAATAGATACATAAAAACAATTACATAAGAATATTAATGGGGGCTGGAGAGATGGCTCAACGGTCAAGAACACTGGTTGTTCTTGCAGAAGACCAGGGTTTGAATCCCAAGCACCCACATGGCAGCTAACAACTGGCCATAACTCCAGTCCCAGGGGATCAGAATGCCTCTTCTGACCTCTGCGGGCATTGCACAACATGGGTGCACTTACCTACATAGAGGCAATACACGCATACACATAAAATAAAAATAATAAATATAATTTTAGAAAAAAAGAATATTAACAGACTTTAAAGCTAAGGAACAAATTTGGAAAAATATTTCCAACACAACTATAAGCAAAAAAAAAAATTCCTATTTCCTTAATATACAAAGAATTAGAATTAGGTGATCAATAATTGGATAAGAATAATTCAAAGAAAAGGAGTACAGGACAGGAAAATAGTTCACAGAAGAGACAATACAAATGGTCAATAAGCATCTTTACTTTATTATTTTTAATTTGTGTGTATGAGTGTATTGCCTACATGTATGTAAGTGCACCTGTGTCCTGCAATGCCATGGAGGTCAGAAGAGGGCACGAGATCTCCTGGGACTGGAGTTACAGATGGTTGTTAGCCACCATGTGGGCGCTGGGAATTGAACCCACAAGAGGAGCCAGTGCTCTTAACTGCTGAGCCAACACTCTACCCCAACTTACATTTCTTGAGCCTTTGATATGCTAGACACTTTCTCAATCTTTATATATGCTAATTCACTAAATTAACAAGATCTCCAAGATTGATAAATACATTAAAAAAAGAAGGTTGTTGGGCAGATTATATACTATTATTGATTCAATTTGTACCATACATGTGATATAAATCTATACAGGCAGGTGGCGCACCAACTACTCCCAGTCTGACGCGCTCCTGCAATGTGCTCAATAAACTATTAATAAATAATCAAACCCATAAGGACAAATATCAAACACCATACACAGTATATAAAAATGTATGTGTATGTAAATATGCACACAAACACACACCCAGGAAAACTCAGGAAGAACACAAAAGGAATGGTTCCCAGCTATCCCTAAGGAGAGGTGAGGCAAGGCAGCTTGGAAAAAAGAAACTTCTTACTCTTTTATAATTTTCTAAATTGTGTGAACTTTTCATCAAATACAGGATTACTTCTATTTTCAATTGCTAATGAGCATTATTAGCCTAGTTAGTCTATGATCTGTTTAATTTTCTTCTTTCTTTAAAATATTCATATTTTAAAACTGTTATTTGAGAAAATGGTAACATGAGACACTTTGATATTTTTTATACCCTTCTATAGTACATGAATTTAAAATTTTTTCAACATGATTAAAGATAACCTTTAAATAAGAAAATAGTATTCACCAAGCCTAATAAAAGCACTGGCTCTCATTTCCTTCCTTCAGCAGGAAACCCCAGCATACAAGGATCTGAATGAGGACTCTCATGATTCTAAAACAATTGTTTGGCTGACAGTATTCTTTGTCCCAGGATCAAGTCTGTGTAATGGAATATTTATAAAATGACTAAGTTTTACTATAAATGAAACAAAGGGGGTAAAATAAAAAGGTTCCCCATGTGAGTTTCAATGCACACTGCTCAACTCTACAGGTGCTTTGACACACAGCAAGGACTGTGCTGAAGCACATACCCGCTAAACAGGGAATACGAGGAGACTGCTGACAGTTCTCATGGCCACTGCCAAAGCCACCACTCATCAGCTGCTTCCTACAGATCTAAGACGGATCCACAGTTGACATATATTAACTCATCTAGCCTTCACATCAAGACAATTCCTGGTTGGGTGACCATGCACTAGAATTGTATAGAAACTATTAAAAACTAAAACTTGGGCTGGAGAAATGGCTCAGTGGTTAAGAGCACTGATTGCTCTTACAAAAGACCTGGGTTCAATTCCCACCACACGCATGGCAGCTAACAATTGTCCATAACTCTAGTTCCAGGGGATCTGATGCCTTCTTCTGACCTCCATGGGCATTCCACGACACCTGTGCACTTACGCATATGTAGGCAATATACTCACACATATAAAAAATAAAAATCATAAATAAAATATTTTTTAAAAACTAAAACTTGGGGGCTGGAGAGATGACTTAGCAGTTAAGAGCACTGACTGCTCTTGCAGAGAACCCAGGTTCGAGTCCCAGCACCCATATGGCAGCTACGAACCGTCCTTAACTCCAGCTCCAGGGAATCCGAAGCCCTCTTCTGACCTCCATGGCATTGCACAACATGGGTGCACTCACATACGTGCAGGCAATACATTCATACACATAAAATAAAAATAATAAATAAAATATATTAAAAAATAAAACAATCTATCAAATTTGAAATTAAGGGTGGCAAACAGAAATTGAAATCTATAAATAGTTGCATCTAGACTTATAGTATCGACGTTTAACTCTTAATGGAATTTTTGTGTGATTTTGTTGTTGTTTTTATTTTTGGTTTTGCTTTTGTTTTTGAAACAAAGCCTTGTTGTGTAGCCCAAGCTAGCATCAAATTTGCAATCCTCCTGCCTTAGCTTCCTGAGTGCCAAGATTGCCAGCATGCGCCACAGCATCCAGCTTTAATGAACTTTTGGAATAAGATTCTTTTCCCCTAAAAGCAGACCACATAAGGGACTCCTGAGTAATCTTCATGTCACTTGTTCCAAAGCCTGTCTCTTCCAGGTAATCTTCCTCACGCCTCCCTCCTAGTCTTCCAAGTGCCTGTGATTTCAAGCCTCGTGCCCTCTCCCTGTGTGTGCCTTCCATTTCCATCTGTATCCCCCTGTAGCTCTTACCTGTCCAGCAGCAGTTCCAGCACTTCTTTAGTGGAGGCAAAGCCCCTGTAGGTCGACAGGAAGATGCTGATATAGGTAAAGTCATTGTCCCCAAAAGCCGTCAGCAGGTTCTCCACAAGCTTCTCCAAGGTACCAGCTTTGATGGTCCTGATCTTACAGGTCTCATACTGACTGACTGTGTGTCCTGGAGGCAGCTGGTCCCCTTCAACCTGTATGACAAGTTAATGATTACCATCAGATGATATGGCTCTCTCGTGTAAAACTGAACACACCACAATAGTCAGTCGCTTCTCTATGCTCTTACTGAACTTCTCTCAAGCTGTGTAAGGCAATGCTCTCCCCTACAAATGCAGCATGGGGGAGGGTTGTGGAGGTGGGCTCCCTTTTAGGAAGTACAGGTATGCCTTCAAAGTTGCTACAATTCCTTCTACTTACACCCCTATTGACTACATATTTTACCAAAGATATTTTCTATCATTTCAGGATTGAATTTAGCAAATGTTATCAATCATCTCCTTTGGGTTGTTCCAACATGTTTTCAAACTCATTTTTTTTTTTTTGTCTTTTTGAGACAGGGTCTCCCTGTAGCCCCAGCTGGCCTGGAACTCGCTATGTAGACCAGACTGGCCTCAAACTCACAAAGATCCACCTGCCCCTGCCTCCCGAGTGCTGGAATTAAAGGTGTGCGCCACAATGCCCGGCTTCAAACTCATTTTTAAAGACAGTTCCTACAGTGTTATGCCAGAAGAGCTAACTCATAATGATTTGTGGAGAACTTACTGTTTACAAATGTGTATGATTGGTGTGAACCAATGGATTTCACAAGGCCTGAAAATCCAGGCAGTACAGAAGTCTGTTCTCTGTGGAAACCTATAGTTAACGATGATCTGACTGACTTCAGCCCACAGAAGGCAGTCTACATTTCTACTTTAATATAATCAGCAAACAACAGAATTGACAGAGGAACAGCTGTTCTAAGTACCGCTGGGTTCACCCCAGCAGAGCAATGGAAGGGTGGCAGGTGCACAAGCTCTACCATCAGGAAAACTTTGTAAGTACAAGAGAACATATTTACTATGATAAACGGCTAGCACAAAAGAGTGAAACTGCAAAGAATATCAGTAGATGTAATTGTATAATGGTAGACATAAACCCAGAATACGTAAGAACTGGTAGTTAAAATGTGAAACGTTAAAAACGGAATATGAAGGAAGAGAATGAAATGAAGAAAAACTGAGGTGTGCCTTGCATTCTACAGCAAATCTGTGCCTAAAACCATACCCAGAGATGTAATTTTCCAAGTTTAACTTCTTGGGAGTAAGGAAGCTGCTACTAAGAGGAGTTCTGTAATCTAATCTTTCTCCAAAGCAAATAATTATTCTAGCTGCTGTAAAGAATAAGCAGACAGTTTGCCTGAATCATAATGTGTATGACCTTCTATCAGACTTCCCTAGTTTGAAATACTCAAAAATGAAAACAATAAAGAAATCAATCTTTACTAATGACGACTGTACTTACTAAGTTCAGTTTTGCTTTTTCTTCGCCTGATCTGTCAGAAGTTAAACTTCTGGAAGGAAATTCATCAGGAGATTGCTTTTGAAAGATCCAAGTGGTGGTGACCACCTTTGGAAGGTTAAATAGTGCCATGCCACCACATCTAGCTGCTAGCAATAATTAATAGTAAGACTATGGCTATGTGATAAGTGGTTTTGTTTTCTTATTTAATTTTTAAAAGTTTTCTAGGAATGAGGCTGGAGAAGATGGCTCAGAGGTTAAGAGCACTTCCTGATCTTCCAGAGGACCCAAGTTCAGTTCCCAGCACCCATGTTGGACAGCATACAACCACCTGTATTTCCAACTCCAGGGTATCTGACACCCTCTTCTCCTCTTCTGATCTCCACAGACATCTGCACACATAGAGCACACAGCTGTGCACACACACACACACACTCCATACACCACATAAATAAAAAGAAATAACAAAAACAATTTATAAAAGTTTTCAAAGGAAAGAGATCTGGTTCAGGAAAAACACCAAGTATTCCTTCAGATCTCTTAGGACTGTTAGATCAAGGCCCAGTAACTGGTCTTCATTACTCTGTACTAGTTTTAGAACAAGCCAAATCGTATCCATCTGTTCTCCAGAATCTCCAATTATCTTAAAGCAGAAACAATAAGTGAAAAAGATATATGGTTTCAAACTCTAATTACATTTTTAATTACTAGGCACGGTATTGCTTTAAGTGTGTACTATAAAATGCTAGTTCCAAAAAAAGAAGGTTCTGTGGTCAAGATCAGGGACTACAAAGGTAATAAAGTCAAAAACATTGTTTTACTGCTGAATTTCTTAAACTTCAGTATGTTTCTATGTCACATTAAACACCAACAAGGAGACACCACACACAGCATCTCCAGATTCATTTCCCTTTATTCTCAGAGCACCTTGTAGAACTTTAGAATGAACTGTATCACACTGAAAATCTAACTCATGCTTACTACTTTTTACTTTAAGAAAGAAAAAAAAATCAAGACATTATAAAATGTAATGCTAATTTAGTCAGGCCCATAAACCCAGCCCTTTGGAGACTGAGGCCAGAGGATTGCTGTAAGTTCAAGGCCAGCCTGGGCTACACAGTAAATTCCAGGTCAGCTTTGGATACAGAGTGAGACTCTTCCTCAAAAAAATCAAAACTGCATAAATACATGAAATGCAAAAACAAATCTTAAAATACAATAGAAATTTTTATCTAAAAATGTCTACATTCCTTTGATCTCTTTATTATACTAAAATATAAGGATGTTTTGTGGTTTGTAACTTTGTACTTCAAAAGGCCTCATCGAAATAATTATCTGCCTACACAATATTAAAAGTAGTAGTTAAAAACCATTCAATGCCAAGTGGTAACAACAGCAAAAGAAATGTTTCTCTGCTGTCAGGAACATGAAAATTCTCATTTTAAATGAAGCTTCCTTACCTTGTAATAATGTTGGAGTTCCTTACTGGACAATTTTGGAATTTCCTGATTCTTACTTTAAAGTGCAAACTCCACTTTAAAATAAAATCTTTCTTATTGAAAGTAATGATGACTTAAAAGTACTAATTTTTCATTGAGTCCTGAGGTGGCCAAAAACTCAACACACAGAGAAAAGTTTCCGTCAAAGGACACGACCAGAAAACGGATTTGGCAGGATGCTCTGGCTCTCCCTGGGGACTGGAATTATACCTCATTTGCCCCATCTCTTCCTTCCAGTCATCTTTTTACTCTGGAAGAAGGAATATCAATCACATGCATTATCCCCCCTATGTCCTGAATGATTCCTGCCCCTTGGTGTTTGCATCCATACCATGGGTGACTAAGAATGGCTAATGAAATACGTTTAAAGTCTTATTTCAAAGACCTCTGTGAATGTGGTGGATGAGCATGCATGTCTCAGGGTGAGGTGCAGGATTGCTCTGGTGGCTGGAACGCTTTTACAAAACTTAATGCACCTTGAGTTGCCAAAGCATTTGCTTACAGCTGTTTTCTACAGTGTCACTGAATTCCCTAAAGGCTATTGCTATTGCAGGGAATAGGCGAAGGTTTGTTTTTGTTTGTATGGTTTGGGAGGGGGTTGTTGTTGTTTTAATGAGTTCTAACTTACAAATATTCAAATACAGTACTACAAGTTGTCCTCTGACTTCCACACATACATCATGGTACTTACGTACCCATTCACACATACACAATAAATAAATAAGTAAATAAATAAATAAATAAATAAATAAATGTAATTTTAAAAGTTAAAAAGGTACTGGAAAGATGGCTCGGCAGTTAAGAGCAGTTGCTACTCTTGCAGGGGATCTGGGTTCAGTTTCCTGCATGCACTCCAGGTAGCTCACAAAGGCTGTAACTCCAGTTCTGGGGATTCGGTACCCTATGGCCTCCACAGGCACCTACATGCATGAGGTACATATAAACTCATGTAGACACACACACACACACACACACACACACACACACACACACACACACACACACACACACACACACACACACACACACACACACACACACACACACACACACACACACACACACACACACACACACACACACACACACACACACACACACACACACACACACACACACACACACACACACACACACACACACACACACACACACACACACACACACACACACACACACACACACACACACACACACACACACACACACACACACACACACACACACACACACACACACACACACACACACACACACACACACACACACACACACACACACACAAGAATAATAAATAAATCTTTTTTTTAAGTAAAAAGTTAAAAAAATACACATTCACTTAAGCTAAAATGTTCAAGCTTCATTTTGCAGCAAAAGATTCAATAGGTCTGTAGTTCTTTTAAGAGACTTCAGGACCTGTTTTTGTTTGTATTGTCTTAATAACTTGGAATTGAAGTTTAAAATAAAAGGGGCAGACCTTTGGCAGACAAGTGTTTAATAACTCAGACTTGGAAAGCCAGACAAGGAGGCCTGAGCCTGCCCTGTGGGTTAGCACGCTAACAGGAAACAGCCCAATCTGGCTTTAATCAGAATCTGTGGCTTTACTGACAAGACCAAGATACCAAGGCCACAAAAACGCTCGTGGCTGTTTCTTTGGTTGATCCTTCTGCTGTCTGAATTCAGCTTCCTCTGAGACAGCATGCCTAACATCTACAGAATAAATATCTACTATTCTACCCAAGTGTCCTAGCTGAGCAGGTCCATAACTGCCAACTCTGGCCTAAGGAAGAGAGGACAAAGCTTGAGGGATAGAATATGCATATTTTAAGTCTGTTTCCCCCAGACATGGAGAAATGCACACTTTCACTTTCTAAAACATAAACCATTAACAACTTGGATTTCTAGTTTGGAGAAGAAAAGAAGTCTTCCCATCAAAATAAAGCTCCAGTCATCTGATACTTTAATGGGAGCATGCTAAGTAAACCACTGCATTAGAAAGGAGTCAGAGTGGAGTCGTTCAGGCAGGGCTCAGTGTCCAGGGCAGCCATTCCCAGGCATCTTAACCAGAGCAGCAAAGCATAGCAAGTACTATTCCAGTCATTAATTCTACACCCAAAGTTAGACCCTAAGAAGGCCAAGTCGTTAGCCCCATAGTCACCCTCAGACACCAAGGGAACATTTCATACACTTTTCTT